TTTCAAACTGAAATGTCAGTTTAAAAAATAACATACTCAAAAATATGTCATTTCCTAAACAAAAGTCAACATTGTTGCTAGGTCTATAAACAAGTCAAGCTCGACTCGTTAAATAAACGAGTCTGAAATCGAGCTCGAGTTCAGCTCGTTTATCACTAATAACGAGTCGATCTCGAATTTTAACGAGTTAAACTATAAAAAATTATATAAAAAATCTCTGTTCGAGTCTTATCGAGCCGAGCTGTTAACAAAACGAGCTTTGAATGAGCTCGAGTTCGACTTGTTTATCAAACGAGCCGAGCCGAACTCGAGCCTTAATGAGCCGATCCGAACCAGACTCATTTAATTTAACATCAATACTAAATTTGTTGTTGAAAAAAGTACAATGAGTCAACCCAACTAACGGTTAGACAGTCTCATCTCATAATATAACTAGAAGGCGGGGACCTCACTCAACACCAATCAAGAGTGACGCCAGCAGCCGAAGAGTGCTCTCTAAGTTTCCATTTTCGGACTACAAAAACATCCCCTTCATTTCTCAGCTTCCCATTCATCCACAAAAGCAACAAAAAATAATAAAAACTTAAAAAAAAAATATATATATATATTAATCCATGGCTGAAGAAGAATTTCAAGAATCCGAAATTTTATTCCGAGACAGCCTCGATTTCGACGGCCGGACCAATTTCGACGGCCACGATGACCTTCCCACGAACTCCGGTCTAGAAAAGAAGAAAATCGTAGCCGTGAATAGGGAAAAATCGGTCTCGATAGATATTCCGGGATTTGGCTCGTCTCTAAAGGCGCCTTATTCCGGCAACGACGAGGCGGAGTTTGTGCCGCCACACGTCATAATTGGGCGGCGGGTGGCGGCGCTCTGCACCGGACACGGGCGGAGGAGTTTAAAGGGAAGACATTTGAGCGAGTTTAGGAATGCGATTCTTAGGATGACAGGATTTATTGAAACGTGACGTCATAAAAAAATACTTTCATTTTTATTCATTTGTTTATTTTTTAAATTCTAAAATTNTTTTTTATAAAAATAATAATAAATTTGTTCGTTTTGTAATTGGTTGGTTGTTTTCTAGTGCCGGGTTTTGGAGTTTTGTGATAATTGAATTGGACCTTGCATATGTTGAATTAGGCAATTGCATGATGAAGATATATGCTACTGATTGCATGTGGCTAAATCGTATTATTTTGTTGAATTAATTAGGTTCACTCCAATAAATTATATATGTTTTAATATTAAATTATCATTATTTAATATATAATATACATACTTTAATATATAATTTCATACTTTTGTATTTTTGTAAGAACATATATAGAACTTTGGGTAGTTCATATAATTCAGTTGAATTGGGTTTCACTAATGTCTATTTGATATGTCATCAAATCACAGAATCCAAATTGAGTTATTTTGTGGAGCTCATCAATTGCTTATTTGACATCTTAAATCACAGAATCTAATTAATTTTATATACATGTCATTGATGCAAGTTTATATTAGCTTTTATAATCAAGGAATTTGGTTCTATATGTTGATTAAACTTTGACCATAGCTTTTATAATCATGGAGTTTGGTTCTATATTTTGATTAAGTAACTCTCACCATTTACTACTATCTTACTTGAAAGAGGAGTTTACATAAATTTATGAAGATGGTTACAAGTAATTTAATTGTGTTGATGTACCGCCGTTGATTATGAATTAATGTGATGAATCCATGCAACGTGTCATCTGATAGCTCCACATCAACATAGTAGTAATTAAACTCAGACCAAGGAGACACGAAAGGATTTACAAACTTTTTGCAATTGGATATAAGATTTTTTTGTATAAAATTTGTTTCATTTAAAGATGGGAAAGTAGAAAATATTATCTATAAATAAACGTGAGATAAATTTGATATTGCGAATGGATGCAACATGAAAGAGTATTATTTTTTGCATGAGTTCAAAAATCAATATACTGAAGATATGTTCCTACAAGCACAAAGAATTTATATAAGGGGAATTTATTTGTTTACTTATATATATATATATATATATATATATATGTGCGAATTTTCTAACTAAATATATTTATTGAGTTATATGATCTTATTATGGTATTTTGTTGTAGGAGTGCAACTAAATGGAAGGGACACACACACGAGATCTTGGGAGATCAAAAGTAGAGTGGATAACTAAGGAAATAAGATATTTGGAGAGAGGGAAGAGTCCTAATGCTATTTGAACTTTGGATATACTTGGAAGGAAATCAAGGAATCTTGAAGGAGACTCCACACGAAGAAAGTCATATAAATACGCACCTTGAAGATTGAAGAGAGGTTGCCGAATTTATTACTCATACACGCCGTCTTCAAACTTCAAGTGTTTTTCGTGCTTACATTTTCATTTTCGATTCAGTTCTTTTGTGTACTTGGGATATAGAAGAACTGAGATCATTTCTGATTGTATTCTTTTCTTCATTTCATTTGAGACATTAGTCATATACACTTAGGGAGTAAGTGTTAGGAAATAAGTCCACGGGACGTGGCCGGAGAAGTAGTTGATAAGATTGATCGTTGTTGTGGCTAGCCTAGAAGGGAGTTTTAGTTGTTATAAGTCGAAACAATGTCCAAAGACGTTATCAATGAAAGAACTCTGATGGAAAGTGGGATGCTTCCTTGAAGAATTTTTAAAACTTTTGTTTATTGCTTCCGCTATTTTTAATCTTACTCTTCTTCGTACAATATTGAGCGCACTCGTGATAAATTTATACGTTTCACAACATAAAAACATAAAGATTAAAGTTAATATGATATAAAATTAAAAAAAAAAATATTTTGTTGTAAAAATTGAAATAATGATTTTTTTTTGTGGTAGTGAGATTTTATAAAAAAAAACGAGAGGAAATAGGAGGAAATAGATAGCATTTTAATTAAACAGATTTAGACAGAAATTAATAAAAAATAAAAATAAAAAAAATGAGTTCTATTAGTTGGGCCGGCCCTAGCCTTATTAGGCCGAAGAATACATTTCATGGCAGCTGGCCCATTAATCAGTTCTATGAATTACAAGGAAACCGAACGGCAAAATTTCATAACTGCCATTCTATTTGAAACTGTAGTTGTAACTCAATTTCAATTACAATCGACTTTGAAACTGTAGTTGTGCATTTCTAACTTGAAACATGTATAGATTTGTCAAGTTTTTGCATATATCAACTTTAATGTGTTTTTTCTTTCGTTTTGATCAATAAAATATTTTTATTATTTAATCAACGATGATTTTGGTTATTTGAATAAAATATTAAAAGCTCACACACAATCATAACACCAGAATATATGTATTTAATATTTATATATCAAATTAATAAAATAAAATAATCCATATGTTCCAGTTTGCTAGCTGAAAGCCGCCATGTTAAAAGCTTTTATTAGAATCTGTACTTTAGATTTATTGTATTGAAATTAGCATATAATATATTTTCAGTTTCTAACAATAAACATTATACTATTAAATATATATGCATATTTATAAATTAAAATATTAAATTTGAAAAAGAGACATAAATAAATGTATGTTTTTTTATAATTAATATATATATATATATTTATTAAAAAAATTATAGTGGATCTAGGTAAAAAAATTATTATCATAAAAAGGTCCTCATGGATCCCAAGGCAAAAATATAAAATACAGACAATGCAATATAAAAATATAAATTGAGAATTTTTTTATTTTAAACAATAGGAATATTATGACTAGAACATATAATTAAGATCTATGTACTGCTTTTCTTACTTTTGAGAAGCAAAATTAATTTCGAAAATGAAAATTTATGAGATGATTGAGTATATATACATATATATATATAATATCTAATTTTTTTAACTGGAATTATGATAAAATATAAATACTTCTAAAAGAACTATTATTATTATTGTATTCTTATAATTATACTAATATATTTTATGCCAAAAAACAATAATAAAACTAGACTACTAGAGAGGATTCTTTTACGGGGAAAAAAAAAAGAAGAAAAGTTGTGGACATAAAAAGAAAAAGAAAAAAGGGAGTGGAAAAGAATAGAAAGGCCGTATTGGCCGTATTCATTGAATACGTTTTTTGAATTTTTTATTTGTAAAACGTATTCCGTGAATACGGGTTCCTTTGTAAAAAAAATGTAAAAAACGTATTTAAGGAATACGTTTTTTAATTAAATTACACAGAAAACGTATTTATGAAATACGTGCTTTCTATGTTGGTCCACTCTCCC